CTGGCATGTACAAGATTGAAGATAGATCCATATCTATTGCCATGCACAAAACTCAAATCCAAATAGATCAAAGACCTCAACATAAACCCAGCCACACTGAACCTCCTAGAAGAGACAGTGGGAGGTACCTTTGAACTAATTGGTACAGGAGACCAATTCCTGAACATAACACCAGTAGCACAGACACTGAGATCTACTATTAATAAATGGGACCTCCTGAAACCAAAAAGCTTCTGTAAGGCAAAGGACACAGTCAGTAAGACAAAATGACAGCCCACAGAATGGGAAAAGATCTTCACCAACCCCACATCTGACAGAGGGCTGATATCTAAAATATACAATGAACTCAAGAAGCTAGTCACCAAAACACCAAACAATGAAATTAAAAAGTGGGGTGCAGAACTAAATAGAGAATTCTCAATAGAGGAATCTAAAATGGCTGAAAGACACTTAAGAAAGTGCTCAAAATCCCAAGCCATCAGGGAAATGCAAATCAAAACAACTCTTTACACCGGCCAAAATGGTTAAAATCAAAACCACCAATGACAGTCAATGCTGGAGAGGATGTGGAGAAAAAGGAACACTCCTCCATTGCTGGTAGGAGTGCAAAGTTTTAAGACCACTTTGGAAATCAGTATGGCAGTTTTGTAGGAAAATGGGAATCAGTCTACCACAAGTTCCAGCAATTCCTCTCTTCGGCATATACCCAAAGAATGTACATTCATACAACAAGGACATATATTCAACTATGTTCATAGCAGTGCTTTTTGTAATATAGCCAGAACCTGGAAGCAACCTAGATGCCCTTCAACTGAAGAATGGATAGAGAAAACGTGGTACATTTACACAATGGAGTAGTACTCAGCAGAAAAAAGCAAAGGAATCTTGAAATCTGCAGTCAAATGGATGGAACTCATCCTGAGTGAGGTAACCCAGTCACATAAAGACAAACATGGTATGTACTCACTCATATATGAATTTTAGATATAGTACAAAGGATTATCAGCCTACAATACTCATCACCAAAGTAACTAGGAAACAAGAAGGACTCTAAGAGAGGAGTGCATGGATCCCAGAGAAGGGAAAGGCGCAGGATCTCCTGAGCTAATTGGGAGCATGAGGTTAGTGGAGAGACAGCTGGGAGAATGACAGCGGGAGAAGAGGAGGGGAGAGGAGGAAATGGGGGAGCAGGAAGGTTGAGTTGGAGGAAGAACAGAGGAGAGCAGGAGGAGAGATACCATAACAGAGGGAGCCATTATAGGTTTGAGGAGAGATCTGGCACCAGGGAGATTCCCAGGGAACTACAAGAATGACACCAACTGACAATCTAGGCAATGGTGGAGAACCTACCCTAAATGCCCTTACCCTATAATGAGACTGATGACTGCCTTACATGCCATCCTAGAGGCCTTATCCAGTGGCTGACGGAAACAGAAGCAGACACCCACAGCTAAATACTGAACTGAACTCTGAACCCAGTTGCAGAGAGGGAGGAGTGAAGAGCAAAGAGGTCCGGAGCAGGCTGGTGAAGCCCACGGAGACAGCTGACCTGAACAAGGGGGAGCACATGGACCCCAGACTGATGTCTGGGAAGCCAGCATGGGACTGATCCAGACCCCTGAATGTGGATGTCAATGAAGAGGCCTCAGCACTCTATGGGGCCCCAGTAGTGAATCAGTATTTACCCTGGGTGTAAGAAGGGACTTTGGGAGCCCATCCCACATGGAGGAATGCTCTCTTAACCTGGACACATCGGGTAGGGTCTAGGCCCTGCCAAAGATGGTATGACAGACTTTGGGTAACCCCCATGGAGGGATTTACCTTCCCTGGGAACAGAGGGGGGACGAGGTGGGGGGTCAAGAGAGAGTGAGAGGGAAAGTTTCTAATTTGAACTAATAAAAAATAATGTAAAAAAAAATTGCTCGACATCCTTACCCATCAGGGAAATGCAAATCAAAATAACTCTAAGATACTACCTTACTCCTGTCAGAATGGCCGAAATCAAAAACATCAACATTTTATGCTGGAGAGGAAGTGGAGAAAGCAGAACATTCCTCCACTGCTGGTGGGAGTGCCAACTTGTACAGCCACTTTGGAAATCAGTATGGCGATTCCTCAGAAAAATGGGAATCAGTCTACCATAAGATTCAGCAATTCCACTCTCAGGCATATACGTAAAAGAAGAACATTCAAACAATAAGTACATCTCTTCAACTATGTTCATAGCAGTATTATTTGTAATAGCCAGAACCTGGAAGCAATCTAGATGCCCCTCAACTGAAGAATGGATAGAGAAAATGTGGTACATTTATACAATGGAGTACTACTCAGCGGGAAAACAAAACAAAACAAAACAACAACAACAACAAAAAAGAAAAAAAAAACAAAGAAACAATGGAATCTTGCAGCTGTCAGGCAAATGGATGGAACTAGAAGACACCATCCTGAGTGAGGTAACCCAGTCACAAAAGGACAAACATGGTATGTACTCATTCATTTATGGACATTAGACATAGAACAAAGGATTACAAGACAATAAGCCCTACTTCCAGAGGAGCTAAGAAACAAAGAGGACCCTGTGAGAAGCATACATGGAGAAGGGAAAAGGGACAAGATCTCCTGAGCAAACTGTGAGCACTGCAAGAGGGGAGAGGGTGTTAGGAGAAAGAGAAAGAAGAAATCCCCACTTTCTCAGGTAAGGTAAAGGCCACAAACCCTGGCAATTTTCCTCTTCTCCCCTCTCCAGTGCTGGTGTGTAGTCATGCACTGCTATGCCTAGATTTTTACATTCTGCTAGGGATCTGAATTTAGGCCCACATGCTTGCAAATTTTACCCACTGAATCATCTCCCCAGTCCCTAGCATTTAAATTTTTGAATGTTGTTCCTAACTGCTTACTGATTCATTTTGTTGTGCTTGTTTAAAAATCTTTGTCAAAAAGAAGGCAAAACAAACTAAAGAAAAAAGGATAGACAATTTATATCAATGAAGGATTCAAGTACAGCAAAAAAACATATGCACTCAACATTACCACACCAAATATCATAATGAACACTACTGGCCATAAAGGCCCAAACAGACTTCAAAACAACACTAATAGGTGACCTGACTAATATTTTATTCTCATCAATAACTAAGTCATCCAGATAAAATCTATCAGCAAAGAAACTACAGAGTTAAATTATAGATCAAATGGAGTTAATAAACACCCACAAACTATTCTATCCCAAAGCTGCTAAGTACACAATCTTGAATGATTAGTGTGTCACTAAAGGAATAAGGAAGGAAATAAAACAATTCTTAGCATCAAAGGAGAATGAAAGCACAACATACTAGAATCTGAGAGAAACAGAAAAAAGTGGTTATAATAGAAAACTTTGTAGTCACAAATTCCTACTTTAAGAAAAATCAGATATCTCATATAAATAATCTAATAAAACTCAAGGTCCTAAAAGGTTTATCTTCAAATCAGCACAAGGAAACAAAGGATAAAGTCCAGAGTTTAAATTCATGAAATGGAAAACTAAAAGAACAATACAAAGGATTAATCAAACAAAGAGTGGGTCCTTTGAAAAGGACAAATAAACTGACAAATGTAATCCTTAGCAAAACTACTCAAAAGACCTGTCAATAAAATTAGAGATGAAAGGGGGGGTTTACATTATAGCAGTTTTCAATGAGTTCTAGATAACTAACAGTGAATATTCTGATCATACATACATACATACATACATACATACATACATACATACACACACACACACACACACACACACACTCTTGGTTTTTCTCTGTATAGCTTTGGAGCCTGTCCTGGAACTAGCTCTTGTAGACCAGGTTGGTCTCCAACTCACAGAGATACACCTGCCTCTACCTCCTGAGTACCAGGATTAAAGGCGTGTGCCACCACTGCCTGGCGAATATTATGAATTTATATTATAATGAATTAGAAAAATCTATTTGTTATAAAATTACTCATCTTGAAATCTGTTTTTGTTTTTTATATATTATTAGTTTTATTAGTTCTGAGTGTGTAGTTTAGTGGCAGAGGACTTGCCTAGAGTTTGCAAGGCTCTGGGTTTGATCCACAGCAATGCCACTCTTCCATTCTGAATCCCACCTTAAATCCTATCTTAAAGTTGAATGCAGCTCTGCTTCCCTTGTTCCTCTTAATGAGTGTATAGTGTTCCATGGATGGCAAATGTGCTCATTTTTTTTTTTTAAATCAACTTTGATACAATTTAAGAGTCATCTCAGAAGAGGGAAGATAAAAGAATTGCCTCCACCAGATTGGCCTTAGGCAAATCTGTGGGGAATTCTCTTGTTTAAAAACTGATGTCGGAGGACCCAGTCCAATGTGGGCAGTGCCACTTCTGGGCAGGTGGCCCTGGCTGTGCAAGAAAGGTAGGTAGTTCAGCAAGCCAGAGACAACAAGCCAGTAATCAGCATTCCTCCATGGTCTCTGCAATAATTCCTTCCCTGACTTCTCTCAATGATGGACAGTGAGTGCCATGGAAGGGAAAGATTTAAAAATAAACCCTTTCCTTCCCAAATTGCTTTTAGTCTGAAGTTCTATCATAGAAATAGAAAGCAAAGCTGGGCAGGAAGTCAATGGCTGTATGTACTTTCTCTTTCCAATCTCAGTTCCCCACTCCTCAACTGGTATTTCCTGTGATTATCTGCTAAGAAACAACAACAGGTTTTGGTGTTCCTTTTCCTCAGGCAGAAATCCAATAAAAGGTTAGTGGTAGAACACTTTTTTAGGGGGTTAGCTTTCTCCTGTAGCACTGGTTCACTATCCTTCCACACACATGCTATGGTTACCTCCTGACAGACTGCTTCAGTCTCTGCTCATGGCTGATGCTCATATATACAGAGTGTTTCTGGGAAAGGCTTTATAAATGGGAGGAAGAAAACACTTGAGAATATCTATGGCTTTTAAGGAAGTTTCCCTGAATGGATATAATTAATAATAAAAACAAAATTCATGACTGAAAATACCTAAGATGTTTTCGAAGTTTCTCAATCTCCATACTTTGTTCAGTTACTGTTTTCAGGAAGTGTTGGTTAGTCTGCCATAAGAACAAATCAAAAACATCCAGTATTAGAACATTTAGGAACTGCATTTCCCAAGGTAACATAAAGCATATAAGCAAAAACCAAACACAAAACAAAAAATAAGGTAAGATTCTTGATAATTACTATGTTTTTTTGAGGGTAAAATGTAACCTTGGGTCTCTTCCTTCCTTACCTTTACCTCCATGGATCCTGTTCCAAACTACCTGACCCTGAATTCCTGTCTGAGGGCTTCCTCTGGCTGATCTTTTACTCATCTACATGTGTAGGAAACTGAAAAATGTTATAGGTTATGGAATCAGTGTTGAATCATGTAAAACAGTTTAACAATATTGATGGGATTGAGGTATTAGTAATGCAAATTTCTGTGTTCATGGGTGGGACAAAAACTATGTCTATCACTGGGATTAAGCTCTAGAAAGATGGCTAATTTATCTAGTTATTTTTAAAATTGACATGTATTTACTGGACAAAGGCACAGACATAGTACTTGAAGGTCAAAAGCCAACTTGTGGGAATCAGTTCTCATCTTCTTCCACATGGGTCTCAGAGACCGACTCAGGTCTTCAATCTTAGCAGCACTACATTTATCCACCAAGTCATCTTCCTGGCCCAATTTATTTTATTTTAAAGTTAATTAAAAACAAAACAAAACAAAAAACACCAACCAACCAACCAACCAACCAACCAATCAAACAAACAAAAATGGGACAGAGTCTTGTTATATGGCCCAGATTGGTCTCAAACTTTCCATCCTTTTGACTGCTTCCAGAGTGTTAGGATTACAGGAATACTCATCTGTGTGCAGCTTATTTATATTTTGTTTTATTTTCATTATATGTGTTAATTGTATAAAATAATGGGTTTCATTATGATATCTACATGTACAAAAAGTGCTTCAATCAGATTATCCCAATCGGTTATAATTTCTTTGTCCATTCTCCCCTTTACTCTTTTATAGCTCTACAATCCCCTTTAAAATTAAAATATGACATCATTTCCTCTCTTCCTACTCTTCCCATATTCTATCCTGTATATCCCTTTCAAATTCATGGTCTCTCATTCTTTATTATTATGTGTATATGTCTGTGTGTGTAAATGCAACTTACTGAGTTCATTTACTCTTGATTATATGTTTATTCTTTTAGGGATGGCCACTTGTGATTGAAATAATCATTTAGGGTGCTCATCTCTGGGGAAGACAAATTCTTCTTTAAGTTGCTTTCAGTCACCTGTAGGTATTCATCTAGGGGATATCTGTTAAGTCTATTTGGCCCCTTGTATAATTTCACTCTGTAGTTCGTATTAACTTTTTTATCTGGATTATCTACTACTAATATTGAGTGGGGTACTGATATTTCCCACTATTATTACATCCCTTTACATCGAGTGAAGCTTGTTTATGAAACTGGGTACACCAACATTTCCTGCATATATATAAATAGCAGTTGCATTTCTTTATGGATTGTTCCTTTGTCAACATATAGAAACCTTTATCTTCGGAATAATTTTGACTTGAAGTATGCACTGCATATATGGGTTTTTGCTGTTGATAATCCTAGAGGATTTTTTTTTTTCTGAGTTGAACATGCAGGGTTTGGTGCTAATTCTTATTTGTTCATCATTCCTCATGAAAATTTATTCTTAGGTCTCATGATTCTTTTCTCCACATTTCTGCTTTGGAATCTTTGAAATATATTCCTTAGTGCTGGCTTAGTTGTCATGTGTTGCTTTCAGTTGTGTTCATCTTGGAAGGTCTTTATTTCTCCATTGATTTTAAATAACTTTTTGGATATGATAATCTTAGTTGGCAGTTATTTATTCTAAAAGATTGAAATAAATCATCCCATGTTTTCTTGGCTTAGAGCTCCTCCTGAAAAGAGAGGTCTGATGTAATTCTAATGAGTTTGTCTTTAGGAGCAACTTGGGATTTCACTCTTATAGTTTTCACTATTTTGTTTTTGTTCTGTACTCTTGGCATTTAACTATAATGTGACAAGGAGACATTCTTTCTGGTCCTATTTGGAGTTCTTAATGGTTCCTATTCTTGGATTGCCATATCTTTTTGTAGATTTGGGAAATTGTCTGCTATAGTGAACAAGTTTTATACATCTCTTTGCTTTTCTAAACCCAGATCCTTCTTTTGCTCTTAAAAATCTTCAGTTTTGCTAGTTACTGAAAACTGTGGTAATTATTTTTTAAAAAATTATTTCTAACTGCTACCAGGAAAGAGGTCTAAAACTTATCTTCAATTCCAGATTCTATATTTTTATTTGATTTATTAAGACTTTAATTCCTCCCTTTGAATTATCTTATTCTTTCATTTGATTTAGTCTCCTCCATTGAATTTGTCAGGGTAGTGTACAGTGTTCTTTAGTTCCATAATTTATATCAAGAATTTAAAAAATCTTTGTTTAAAGTTCACATTTCATTAATGTTTTTCATTGACCTCAGTATCTTAATAAGAGTTACTATCTATATATATATATATATATATATATTATATATGGAGAGAGAGGGAGAGAGAGAGAGAGAGAGAGAGAGAGAGAGAGAGAGAGAGAGAGAGAGAGAGAGAGAGAGAGAGAGAGAGAGAGAGAGAGAGAGAGAGAGAGAGAGAGAGAGAGAGAGAGAGAGAGATCTAAGATCTAAGCCCCATCTCCTTTATTTAGGGCTGATTTCTGAATTTTATGGGTTCCTATGAAACAACAACTTTGTTTTTTCACTTTTGGGGGTGACTGTAGTGGTTTCTAGACATGGAAGAAAACTGAAATCCTCCTGGGCTCCAAAGACTGACAACTTACAAAAGAGGACCTCCATCAATTAGCTAGTCATAGGTTTGGGAGGTGTCCTGGATTATTTTCCACCCCCTAGAGAGAGTGGCAGCTTTTGTGTACTTGCTCGGTGATAAGGGCAATACTGTGGCATACATCAGTCTATGTCATAACTCCTTTATGTATCTACACTGTGCTGGACAGAGCACCAAGACTAACAAGACTGACACATTTCTGGAAAGCCCTAAGAAGATAGGGTGCTGGATGCAAAGATCTGTTCTTTCCCACAGGAGGAAGTCAGAGCTGAGCTTTCATTCATTAGCTGGTAATGAGTAAGGTGATGGACAGCTACTAGTCCCAACAGCACCACACTGCCATTCTCTGAACAGTGGCTAAACTGTCTAGGAATTGTTAAGAACTCCAGGACAAACAAGATGGAAGTTAATCTTTTGAGACAGAGGGTCTAGCTGTGTACACCAATCTTTTATTTCCTCTGGAGGAATCTGGGAGCTAGGGAGTCTGATTTTTGATTATATCGTCCTATGGTGCTAGATTGGGAACCACTCCTATAATAAAAAACAAAACAAAACAAAACAAAACAAAACAAAACAAAAAAACCCAACCCACTAGTTTTACTGTGCCTGGTTTCATCCTCTCCTGGGATGCAGGAACTTTTCAGTAGGTTCTGGATTGCTGAATCAATGTGTTTGTGGAGAAAGTAGTCAGGGATTTCTACGCTGACACATTCCTTCAGTTTCACTACAATAAACTTTATTTACCCTACACTGCTTACATTATTGTGCATCTACAAGAGCCTAGTAAATGACCTTTTTTAAATGGGAACTGCTTGCCTTTTATAGGGACTGCTCCTTTTTGTTTTGATCTTGACTCAGATTTGCTCCTACAACTAAGCTCTTAATGTTCTTTGATTTGTATACAATTGTTTCATGACAGCTTTGTTGCTTACTGGTTAATTGACACCCACTATATACATTAAGAAAACTGTAGTTCTTGTCTGACACTATGAATTTTTACTTTTATAAAGACAGGGTCACATCTCAGTATGTAGACTAGCATGGTCCTAAACGGAAAGATAGCTGTCTACCTTTGCCTCTGACTCATGAATGCTGGACTTAAAAGTACCACACCATGGTTTCATATACCCCATGAATACTCAAACATCCTTTTCCTATGACTTTCATTAAAAATGTTTAGGCGTTATTGAAACAGTAATGTATCTACAGTAGGAATACCAAAGGATTATATAATTCCTACAGTTCTGGGAGATACATTGAGACAAATGATAAATAATTGCTACATTAGGTTAAAGTACTAGTTTCCATGTAGAAATATATTATTATAAGCCTGTCTTTTAGTACATTTCACTTGAATTTTAAGACTCCTCAGAAATATATTGTAAAAAACCATACAAACAAATAACCTATGATTAGAAATCCCAAATATTAGCCAGGTATGGTGGCTCATGACTACAATCCCAATACTAGGTAAAGTGAGGCAAGAGGACTGTCAGGAGACTGAAGCCAGCTTGGGTAAATGAAAGCTTGCCTAGGCTACAGTATGAGCCTATGTCTCAAAAATAACACAAACATACAAGGAGATCCTAAATGTTAGTATAAGTAGAAGACATGTGATTAAAGGATAATAAAATAGTGCAATAAAATGGGATGACTTACTTTTGATGACATAACTACTCTTAAGCATAGATATTGTTTAGTTATTAGCAAGAATTAGCAGAGTAACTAGGGAAGAATGAAAAGCAAAGGGAGGGATCACCCAGAGTGCTATAATTCTATTACTCAACAATGAGTAAAAACAAAATTCCAAGGAGGTAAGGAAAGCAAAAGGAAAATATGAGAATTAAAGGAGATTAAGTAGAACAAAGGGGCTGGATTATATTTGTTAGGAAAATGTAGGGGAATTTATATATATTATGGTTAATGTTGACAGTTAATTTACAGATAGTTCTTAGTTTATTCTTTTTAAAGAAGCAATTCATTCATTCAACAAAAAGCACATTTCTAGCTGTGTGTAATAAGAAACAATAAAGATTAAATGTGTGCATTACTTTTGAGGGCCTGATGGTCTAGATCCCTGTATTCTTTAGTAATCTTGCCAAATATCCTGAGAGTTTTCCGATTAGGATGTACTTCAAATACAGGTTGGTTGTATCTTCAAAGGGCACTGTAAAGTATGATCAGTTACTGAATATGTAAGAAGATCAGAAAAGGTACTGCCTATATGTTTTAATAAATACAACATGATTTCTACTGTGATGTAAATAAGCATAAATAAATATAGTTACAGTTTCTAATTTGTAAAAATTAGGTACAGGAAATGGTTATTTCCACTTACCATTTCTATGTTCTCATTAGCAACATGAAGTTTCTTGGTTAGTTGTTGAAAATTATTCAGCTGATCCTAATAGGAAAGTAAGGTGAGTCCATAGTATTTTGTTTGTAGCCCATACTTTAAATAAAACTAAAATCAAATTATATGCTTATATTTGTATGACATCAGCATTATATCTGCTATTATGTGGATTAGTAGTCAAATAAATAAGAATAAACTTTTAATGATCAAAAATTTAGCCAGGTAGTGATGGTGCATACCTTTAATCCCAGCACCTGGGAGGCAAAGGCAAACAGATCTCTGTGAGTTCGATGCCAGCCTGGTCTACAAAGCTACACAGAGAAACCCTGTCTCGAAAAACAGAAACAAACAAACAAAATAAACAAAAGAATTAAAAAGGAAGCAATGTGATACTAATGATTTGTATTTTATATAAAAAATCATTTGTATAAATTTGTCCACTGGTAAATACTATCTTACATATAAAAGACCTTCATTTACAAACATTTGTTAAGTGACTAGAAGTTTCAAAAGCTAGAGAGTACATGCATGACACTGGAAACCACACATTCAAACCTATCCAAAATGAGTAATATAAACTGTGCAAAGGAGCCACTGTGGCTCTTCTGCAACTGTTGTAAAGTCCCTGTATTCTACAAGTTTAAAATCATTTGATCAGGTTATACGGTCCTTTTAAACCAAGTAATGTACAAATAACAAATTTACAACATGTTAACATGTTAGATAACATGTTGTTAACATGTTAGATAACAAAAGTAATGGTTAATAGCCAACCAAGGAAATAGAGATAAAGTATTATTTCTAAAGTTGTTTACAAAAAAATCAAATTATATAACTACAGTAGAAGAATGATCTTAAGTGAAAACAACACAATAATTTGAGGGCTTAGTTTTTGCCTTGAAAACTTACTTTTATCAAAGGTGTTTTATATTAGATATTAGAAGTACAAATTCTATAGATCAGATTATATGTGTTATTAGAAATCACAGCATGGATAATACAACAAAAAGACATCTTGTAAACTAGAGTATCATATAAGTACCATTAGAATTACACAGGCAGAAATTCACTCTGATGATAAGAATATTCACAATCTTGAATTTGAACAATTAAAAAATCAGAGTTAAGATAACCCACTTATTTAAACACATAGTTCTGAAGATCTACAGAAAATGCTCAAACTGTAATCTTCCCATAGTATTTAAATGTATTTAGCAGTAAAAGAACCAACAGAAAAACAATGAAGGCAGATTTCTCAATGGGAAAGGTGGTCTTTATGAAATAGTTTTATTAATAGAGGTATAAAGCAAAAGGTAGATGCCCAATGTAAAAACACTCTTGCTTTAGACAGAAAGACATCTTCAATAACTAATAAGACTTCTTCCTATGAGGGTAGGGGAGAGAGAGCTGCCACAATAAGAGCAAGAGAAGAGGAGTAGAGGAGAGGAAATGGAGGAGCAGAAATATTCATTTGGGGGAAGAATAGAGGAGAGAAAGTAGGATGAGAGATACCATATCAGAGGGAGCCACTATAGGTCCGAGAAGAGATCTGGAACTAGGGAGATCTCCAGAGACCTACAAGGATGACACGATCTGACAATCCAGGCAATGGTGGAGAGGATAACCTAAAAGCCCTTCCCCTAAAATGAGGCTGATGACCTCTCTTTATGCCATCCTAGAGCCCTCATCCAGTGGCTGAGGGAAACAGAGACAGACATCCACAGATATACACTGAGCTGAAATTGGGAATTTAGTTGAAGAGAGGGAGGAATGAAGGGGTGTGTACCAGGTTGGAGAAACCCACAGGAACAATTGGCCTGAACAAGGGAGAGCACATCGACCCCAGATGCTGTCAGGGAGGCCAGTACAAGACTGATCCAGACCCCTGAACATGGATGTCAATAAGGAGGCCTCTGCGCTCCAGGGAGCCTAGAGTGCTGGTTTAGTATTTTTCCCTGGTGCAAGAAGGGACTTTGAGAGCCAGCCTGGTTTACAGAGCAAGTTCATAGAGAAATCCTGTTTCGGGAAAAAAAAAAAAAAAAAAAAAGCAAACAAACAAAAAGCACAACGTGCACTGAAGCAGTTCTTTGATTATTCATATTTTTAAAAGATTCTGAGATACATTTGTTAATTAGTTAAAAAACAAGTCTTAGAAACTTCTCAAAATAGTTATTTTTTCATGATTTTTATGATTTCTCACTGATATTTAAGAAAATCATGAAACCTAGGTTCACCTTTTGCTTTTGATTTTCAAATACATGAATCTGGGCTTCAGTCATATGTTCCTGGTAGAGTTTCCGTATACTTTCCAACTCCTGAGAAGCAGTCTGCCAGAGTTCCAGAGCCCAAGCTTTCTCCTATCAAACAAACAAACAAACAAACAAACAAAACTGATAGTTTATTAAAAAGTATCAGCAGGCTATTTCATTATAGTATTAATGGATCATATTCTTTTACAAATGGGTTCTTGTAAAATTAGAAAGTAAAACTAGAATGTATATAAAGATGGTAGTCATGCATTGTTTAATGATGGGAACACTTAAATGTACTATTAGGAAGTTTAACCATTATGTGACCATAGCACATATACTTAACACAAGATACAATTTCTACAATCATTACTAGGTGATGCAATCATAGGTAGTAATACTGTAGTCCATCACTGACAGAAATGTGTTATGTGGCACATGATTGTACTATAATAATACTCACGATTTAAAATTTTAATAGTACTTTAGAGAACAAATTTAAAAACTAAAATTTCCTTATTTTGAAATTTTACTTAGATTTAATAACTAAAATTAATGTTATCAGCAATACTAAAAATTAATCCCCAGGGCCAGATGGCTTCAATGCAGAATTCTACCAAGAATTCAAACAAGAGCAAGAATCTACAAGAATTCAAACAATTCCTCAAATTGTTCTAGACAATAGAAGCTGAAAGGACATTGCCAAGCTCTTTTTACAAGGCTACAATTACCTTGATACCCAAGCCACAAAAAGACACAACTAAGAAGAGAACTACAGAACAATATCACTCATGAACATTGATGCAAAAATACTCAAAAAAATATTGGCAAATCGAATCCAAGAACACATCAGAGAAATCATCCACCATGATTAACTAGGCTTCATCCCAGGGATGCAAGGATGGTTCAACATACAAAAATCCCTCAATGTAATCCACCATATAAACAAAATGAAAAAGAAAAAACACATGATCATCTCACTAGATGCTGAAAAAGCCTTTGACAAAATCCAACATCCCTTCATAATAAAGGTCTTGGAGAGATCAGAGATAACAGAAACATATCTAAAAATGATAAAAGCAATATAGCAAACCAACTGCCAACATCAAACTAAATGGAGAGAAATTCAAAGCGATTCCTCTAAAATCAGGAACAAGACAAGGCTGCTCACTCTCTCTGTATCTCTTCAATATTGTATTTGAAGTTCTAGCTAGAGCAATGAGACAAGAAAAGGAGATCAAGGGGATACAATTGGAAAGGAAGAAGTCAAACTTTCACTATTTGCAGATGATATGATAGTCTACATAAATGAACCGGAAAACTCTACCAGGGAACTCCTACAGCTGATGAACACTTTCAGCAAAGTGGCAGGATACAAAACCAACTCAAAAAGATCAGTAGCCCTACTATATAAAGATGATAAATGCAATGAGAAAGAAATCAGAGAAACATCACCCTTTACAATAGCCACAAACAACATAAAATATCTTGGGGTAATGCTAACCAAACAAGTGAAAGACCTGTACAGTAAGAACTTTGAGTCTTTAAAAAAAGAAATTAAAGAAGATACCAGAAAATGGAAAGATCTCCCATGCCCTTGGGTAAGTAGGATCAACATAGTATAAATGGCAATCTTGCGAAAAGCAATCTACAGATTCAACTCAATCCCCATCAAAATCCCAAAACAGTTCTTCACAGACCTTGAAAGAACAATACTCAACTTTATATGGAAAAACAACCCTGTACAATAAAGGAAATTCTGTAGGAATCACCATCCCTGACTTCAAGCTCTATTATAGAGCCACAGTCCTGAAAACAGCTTGGTATTGGCACAAAAATAGATAGACAAATGGAATCAAATTGAAAACCCTGATATTAACCCATACACCTACGAACATCTGATTTTTGACGAAGAAGTTATATTTATACAATGGAAAAAATAAAGCATCTTCAACAAATGGTGCTGGAGTAACTGGATTCAGACAGGTAGAAGATTGCAGATAGATCCATATCTATCTTCATGCACAAAACTTAAGTCCAAATAGACCAAAGACCTCAACATAAATCCATCCACACTGAACCTCTTAGAAGACAAAGTGGGAGGTACCCTTGAATGAATTGGTGCAGAAGACCAATTCCTGAACATAACACCAGTAGCACAGACATTGAGATCCACAATTAATAAATGGGACCTCCTGAAACTGAGAAGCGTCTGTAAGGCAAGAGACATAGCCAGTAAGACAAAATGACAGCCCACAGAATGGGAAAAGATCTTCACCAACCCCACATCTGACAGAAGGCTGACATCCAAAATATACAGTGAACTCAAGAAGCTAGTCACCAAAACAACAAACAATGAAATTAAAAAGTGGGGTGCAGAACTAAATAGAAAATTCTCAACAGAGGAATCTAAAATGGCTTTAAGACACTTAAGAAAGTGCTCAAAATCCCAAGCCATCAGGGAAATGCAAATCAAAACAACTCTTTACACCGGCCAGAATGGTTAAAATCAAAACCACCAATAACAAACTATGCTGGAGAGGATGTGGAGAAAAAGGAACACTCCTCCATTGCTGGTGGGAGTGCCAACTTGTAGGACCACTTTGGAAATTAGTAAGGTGGTTCCTCAGGAAAATGGGAATCAGTCTACCTCAAGATCCAGCAATTCCTCTCTTGGGCATATACCCAAAGAATTCATATTCACACAACAAAGACATATGTTCAACCATATTCATAGCAGTGTTGTTTATAATAGCCAGAACCTGGAAGCAACCTAGATGCCCCTTAACTAAATAATGGGTAGAGAATTTGTGGTACATTTACATAATGTAGTACTACTCAGTGGAAAAAAGCAATGGAATCTTGAAATCTGCAGGCAAATGGATGGAACTAGAAGAAACCATTCTGAGTGAGGTAACCCAGTCACAAAAAGACAAACATGGTATGTACTCACTTATATATGAATTTCAGACATACAGTAAAGGATTACCAGATTACAATCCACATCACCAAAGGAACTAGGAAACAAGGAGGACCCCAAGAGAAGAACGCATGGTCCCTCAGAAAAGGAGAAGGGGCAGGATATCCTGAGCAAATTGGGAACTTGGGGGTAGGGGAGAGGGATCTGGGAGAAGGAAAGGGGAAGAAGACGAGGAGAGAGAGGAAATCAGGGAGCAGGAAGGTTGAGTGGGGGAAGAAAGAGGAGAGGAGGATGAGAGATACCATAATAAAGGGAGCGATTATAGGTTTAAGGCGAGATCTGACACTAGGGAGATTTCCAGAGATCTACAAGGAGAAACCAACTAAGCAATAGTGGAGAGGCTACCCTAAATGCCCTTCCTCTATAATGATAGACTGATGACTGCCTTATATGCCATCATAGAGCCTTCATCCAGTGGCTGTTGGAAGCTGAGGCAGACACCCGTAGCTAAACACTGAACTGAACTCGAACCCAGTTGCAGAGAGGAAGGAGTGATGAGTAATGAGGTCAAGACTGGGCTGGTGAAACCCCCAGAAACTGACCTGAACATGGATCCCAGACTGATGTCTGGGAGGCCAGCATGGGACTGATCCAGACCTCTGAATGTGGATGTCATTGGGGAGGCCTAGACACTCTATGGGGCCTCTGGTAGTGGACCAGTATTTATCCCTGAAGTAAGAAAGGACTTTGGGAGCCCATTTCACATGGAGGGATGCTCTCTCAGCCTGGACGCATGGGGGAGGGCCTGGGCCCTGACCAGGATGACATGACAGACTGTGGAGATCCCCCATAGAGGGCCTTACCCTCCCTGGAGAGTAGAGGGGGGATGGATAAGGGGTTGGTGAGGGTGGGGGAGGAGAGGAGGGAAAGGAAGCAGGGATTGACATGTGAAGCAGGCTTGTTTCTAATTTGAACTAATAAAAAAATAATATCTTGGAAATAAAACCACTCTACTTGTCTACAAAAAAGTGCAAATTAAGCCTTGACATTACTAAATGAGAAAATTCCTTCTGAGAAAATACAGTGTGACTTTCTGATTATAAAGAGTTTATTGTACTTATTCTAGTGCTTATTGTAGAAAACTAGGAAAATATGGAAAATAGAAGCAATAAAGAACTACTCAGAAGTTTAGGTATTAGCTGATAAATACTACTAATTTGGATATAATAGTCTTTATAAATGTTGACTCTGTTCATGTCTATACATTTTTATAATGTGCTTCTGGGACACAACTTTTTAAGTAAAGTCCTACTTAGAAGTTTAGGTATTAGCTGATAAATACTACTAATTTGGATATAATAATCTTTATAAATGTTGACTCTGTTCATGTCTATACAGTTTTTTTTATAAATGTGCTTCTGGGACACAACTTTTTAAGTGTTTTTTTAGCAAAATTATAATCATATAATGTATTATGTGTTACACATAATGTAACTCTATTTTACTTGGCATTTTATAGTGAGGTTTTTTTAATTAATCAATTAATGTTTTAATACAGTCTTACCAGCTCAGAGTTTAAGATATTCAGAAGATTTTGAAGTCAAAATTATGTTTATAACAACAGGAAAACAACAGTGGAATTTTCTAAAGCATATGCTAGGTCATTCCTGTGCTGAGGGCTGGCAGAAAGTATGCCTATCTCACTATTCAAAAAATAAAGCCTGTTAATTTACAGTAGACTAAATATTGACAGATATAACTCACAAAAAAGTACTTTTGGATACTTAAATAAGGTAGGTGGTCCATGAAGGTTCTTGAAACCAAAAGGCTAAGAAATGCTAACTTAACCCTCTGAGATCATACAAACAGTAAATTACCTATGGTCCTTAACAAGTTTTGACTAAGATTAGAAAACAAAACAAAACGTTTTCTCGTTGTTGTTACTGGAATGAGAAATGTCCCTATGGGCATCTGTCTTTGGACTCTGGGTCCTCATTTGGTGATACTGTTTAGGGAGGTTATAGAAACTTTAGGAGATGGGCCTTGTTAGAGGAAGTCATCACTGGGGGCAGGTTTTTTAAGGTCTGTATCTTTGTCCCACTTCTAGCTTGCTGTCTCTGATTCCTGTGTGTAGCTGAGATGAGATCTCTCAGCTTATTGTTCCTGCTGCTGGCCTCCATGACTTCCCCACCATTATGAAGTCTAAATTCTCTGGAACCATAAGCCAAATAAATCCTTTCTTCTTTAAGTTGTTTTTGGCCATTGCATATGATCATAATGAGAGAAAATCAACTATATATTCTTTATCTCTAAAGTTTAAGCTTTGGAATTCCAGGTAAAGACTAGGGAATTATCTGTCTTATTCCTGCAAAGCTAGCGCTAAAAGACAGGCAATTTTGGTCTATCCTGAGTAAGCTTTCAGGATACAGGATTTTAAGTTTCTATCAAGTGATTACTAAGTATAACATGCACTCAGAAAACGTACAAATGACCACTCCCACCCCTTGACAGTGTCATCAACAGCTCCAATGATTTTTCTTCATCCACAGAGCTACAAAGTAGAAGAGAGATTCAAACTCATATAAGGTCTGAGATACAGAGATGTAAAATTATAAAGTGAAATAAAGCTCCTTTATGTACAAATTCATAAAAAATTTAACACTGAAAAGTGAAATGCACAGGACACAGAATACCAGAAATTTCAAAAACCATGAAGAAAGAAAAAAGCCAGACAACGTATAATAATTATGTTTCAATCTTTGAAAATTGAAAATGGTATCAGAAAAAAACACACAAAACATGTAAATTTAAGGAAACTAAATCTTTGATTACTTCTTTCTTTAGAGTTTTCTTCTAACATTAATTATTCTTAAAGGACAAAAAATGTTCAAATGTCATATGATTCAATTAAAATATATTTGAAGCTATATTTGTAATAGTAAGAGCATTTATTACAAGTTTTAAGCAAATACAATCAAGTGCTATAAATTTTGTTATTCTGTTCAGTACCAAAATATAAGCCCTGAAATCAAAAATACAAATGACATTATACAGACTGAATAGGTTATATTCAGAGAGTACATATATATACATATATGTATGTAATAACAATTAATGAAAAAAGGTCATGAATTTGAGAATAGAGCAAGGAAGAATATTTTTGAGGGTTTGGAGTAGGAAAGGGAAGAGAAGGGAGAAATGATATAATAATATCAAAAATAAAAATGTAAAGATTAACACATATTTCTGAGGACTTTAAACTTACTAAATAAAAATAGTACATCACTTACCTGATTGGCTAGTTGCAACTGTTCCTGAAGGTTCCTCACAGTCTCATCATCTGCACAGATGTCATTTCCTATCCCTGTGCCAAAGGGAAGGGCTTCCAATTGCTTTTCAACAGCATCTTTTAATTTACTGTGCAACCTTTGCGATAAGCAGTTAACATTATACTTCTTTTAATAAGAGTACAATTACCACTGGGGGGTCATTAAATCAACATGGGTCACACATAATACTTTATACAAAAATCGCTTAAATGAAAATAAGAATGGAAGTACTGGGAGGTGCTATGTAAGCTACCAATGGGGTAAAATCGGTAGTTTTATCCGGCCGTGGTACCTATACACACAACAATGACCAGCATATCATATCCCTAGAGGTGAAATAGTAGCACTTCTATCTTCTGAGTAACCAAAATATGTCTAATTAGAATTAAGGCCTGCTCTAGAAGAGGAAAAATTCAGATGTAGTACTATATACCTAGCCAACTATCTAAGACTGATGTGATGAGTCCAGGAAACCTAGAAGGAACCCACTACTGCCACTTTCCTAAACCAATATAATCTCTAAATGTATTCATTCCAAATAGTTATCCTTATACCCCCAGATAAAGGTAATCTCAGCTCTCAACTGTATACTACTGTTGAAAGCTACAACTGGCCAAAACAAAGAAAACTGACTGTGAGGTGCCCAGACACATTCTATACTACTACCCCAATATCTGAGACTCAGAGAACAAAGGACGAGGAAGCAGAAAGATTGTAAGAGCCAAAGGACCAGGACATCTGCTAAGAAACTGTGTCTTCTACATAGGTCAGGGAAAGCTACACCCATGGTAACCTAAACAAAGATCTGAACAATGACACTGGTTGACATGACTATGAAAAGGGGAAACCTTACAAGGCTTTATCCTTAGAGGAAGAACTATAAACAATTAAGGACTATTGAGAGAGGCAAAATTTGTGGTTACCTAATATCATGTGGTCAGCCCTAAAAGTACATAGGAGAGTGGCACTAAATGGACTCAGTAGGTTTGTTAACACACACACACACACACACACACACACACACACACACACACACACTGTATGTATGTATGTATGTATGTATATATGTATATATATATATACATAAACCTGTAATAATAATAATAATAGGTAAAGAAAAAGAAAAAGATTTTGTATTGCAATTAATAGGCAAGAAAGTTCCACAAGAAAGAAGTTAAATAACTTGTTTAAAGTCACAGTTAATGAAGCCAATAGTGAACAGAAATTCAAGCCCAGGAGTCTTCATGCTAAACCACTGTACTCTATTATCAAAGAACAAAAATATAAGTTACCTAGAGCAACAAAAGACCAATTGGCTAATTGATTTACCTTTCGTTTTCAGTGATGACAGTTTCAAGTTGTAGTTTCATCTCACCCATGTGTTTCTATAGGAATAAAACACAGTGAAGTAATACATTCTCCAGTCAATTAGATCTCCATTTAGTACTGAATTTACATGTAAGCAGTCAGGATTTTTGGTATTTACAGATAAAATGTATTCATTATATTTAACAAGCAGTATCACATGTACATAGTTTAACAATGTACCAAACATAATAAAACATTCATTCTGGGGCTGGAGAGAGGGCTCGGTGGTTAAGAGGACTGACTGTTCTTCCAGAGGTCCTAAGTTCAATTCCCGGCAACCACATGTTGACTCACAACCACCTTGAATAAGATCTGGTGCCCTCTGCTGGTGTACAGGCAGAAGACTGTATACATAATAAAAAAATCTTTAAAAAATGTTTCTTAAATTCATTTTGAATAGATTATAAATAAATAAAAATATTTTATGTAATAATTGAGAAACATTAAAAAATATACATCCAGGAAACCAAAAGATATACTTCAGTATAATAAAAATACCAGTTGAGTTGGGCATGATGGTGTATGCCTTTAATCCCAGTGCTGGAGAGATAGATCGAGGTAAATATCTGTGAGTTGCCTTTAATTCCAGCACTTAGGAGACAGAGGCAGGGAAATATCTGTGAGTTTGAGGATAGCCTGGTCTACAAAGTGAGTTCCAGGATAGCCAGGACTGTTATACAGAGAAACTCTGTCTCAGAAAATAAAAACAAAACAAAACAACCAGTTGACTGTTATACCTTGAAAACATATCTTAATTCATCAATTTAGGGGAAGCCCATATCAGTATGTAGACTCTCTCCTACTTCAAGAGGCAAAATGAGAATGGTGAAAAAGAAAATTAAGGTCCTCTTTAGCAATTACTCACTATCTCACCACCCTTACTAATTATATGAACTCTGCTCTAAACAAGGTTGCTATGGTAAACAGACATGGCCACTGACATATTTAGCAGGCTAGATGACTTAAAAACCTGCTAACCAAAATACAATCAAGATCATAATCCATACTGTAAAGAGAATAAGATAAAAGTTTCACTGATTTTCTCTGAGGAAATGAAGAGATTATTAACATTTCAAAGGGAAAGGAAGAGGGAATTTAATAAAAGCAAAATGGCAAAATAATGAGTCAGTTTTCAGTAAGAGCTGGTCATGGAAATAACGTGTTTAAAAAAAGGGTACACTCAGCTCAAAATCCATCCATCAGTCCTGATGGTGCACTCTAGGGGAAAGGAGAAGAGCCAAGCCTGGAGCAGACCTGGCAAGAGATGTGTGAACAGGCAGCTCTCCAAGTCTGTCTCTCTCCTATTCAGAGAGGCTTACAGCAGCTTGGCTTAAGAAATCACTAACCACCTTTTAATACAAAATTGGCATCAAAGTTGAATTTTTCTCAAGTTCTGGCTAGGCCAGAATTTCAGTCAAACCGAAATGACTTAATGTACTACCAGATAACTGAGTACTGATCATATTTGCAAAAACACTAACTTGAAAAGTATCTAATACTGTAAATGATTACATAGAATATGTGTATTACATAAGTTGCAATAGGACTTTACTATAAAATATTTGAAAATATTTATTTGGAAGGAAAGAAAATCTATAGAGTATCTTTTATATCATCAAAATTTCCCTACTATACTTTTTCGGAGGTGAGGGTAGGAATCTTTATACATAAAATTACAGCATGCTTTTCCCGCTTTGAAGGTATACTATTTCTTGGTCACATCTGTAATTCTTTTTTCTTTCAATGTGTTAGATTTTGTTTGTCTGTGTTTTTGAGAGTCTCTCCATGTAGTCCTGCCGGTCCAAAACTGTCTATGTAGCTAAGGCTGGCCTAGAACTCATAGAAATCCACCTGCCTTGCCTCCTGAATGCTGAGACCAAAGGCACTCACCACTATGTCCAAGTACATCTGTAATTCTTAAAATTAGTTCTACTTATTAATTATATCTATGTGAGCATAGATATAGTATTGTTAGAAGTAGCTATCTGTAGGGCACACAAGCCAGTCAAAGATGGCACTGAGCGGAAGTCAGATGGGCGAGTCCTAAGATGTTTACAAAAAAGATGATTGGCTGCCTAGATCAAACCAGATGAGGTTACTACATGAACAGCTCATGTGCACTAGGTAAAGCATAGGGCACCTAGGGCAGTGATAGGCTGACCTTTAATACCATTGGCTGGCTGTTTCCTCCACTCCTGTTTTTTGCTTTAAAAGATACTTGTGGGACAATAAACAAGTTCCTGCTTGATTAGACTCTCTGCTGTGTCTGATTGTCTCTGGGATCCTGGGAGACTAGGGAACTGATGAGCAGTGCACTTACCCACTTACCCTTCTAACATCCTGCAGACATCAACATATTTTTCCTCTCTAAACAATGTAACACTATAACTATCATTGAAGACTTCTGGGCTTACTAGTGTAGCTTCTACCTATAACTAAGTCAGCAATCACCCATAGGGGGTTATGAACACCAAATGAGAAATTTAAGCCAAACACTTCAGAAAAACAGCTCATTAAAGAGACACAGGATCACATAGGTTATAACAGGTTTTAAGAGAGTTTAATTTCCAGACAACTAGCTATTCAGAAACAAGTGAAATACACACTATATCATCACAGCAATTCATAGAGTGAATTCAGCAGGAACTTTAGATTTGTTAGTCTTAAAACTAAAAGCAAAACACCATTTACACAAAAAAGAACTTTTGTTCTTTAATTGCCTATCTAAAGAAAAAAAGACATTGTTATGGTTGGTTTAAGTCTGAATGGTCAAAAGCGTGTGTGTGTGTGTGTGTGTGTGTGTGTGTGTGTGTGTGTATCATAAAGAATGGGAAATAAATTAACTTAAGAAAGTGTCTTATGATAATACAGAATCTGGTTCCATTTGGCTCTACAACTTCACTTTATAAGTTTATAAAGGAATAAACTTGGAAATGAAAAGTCTACATAAACTTTATGCAAAAAAACTAACTTTATTCTTAGGAGTCATAAGCATTGTGCTCTCTTAGTAAAGGTATATATCAATCTAATAATTAAAAAATTAATACTGTTAAAATCATTAATTTAGATATAACTCTCTTGTTTCCATAGCCCTGGGACTTACCTGACATTCAAAGGCCTATACTAAAGTTGAGTATAAAATGTCCCCCATAGACTTTCACTTTGAAAGCTTATGTTCAGAGGTGGGACCTTAAGAAGGGTGCATCATAAGAGCTCTAACTTCATCAACAAATTAATCCAAAGCTTAATGGACAATTCAGAGACACAGCCTATTCTGAACACACAGGTCACCAGGGGTATGCCTTCCAAGGGTTTATTTTGAAATAGCAGCCCTTTTCTTCTCTCTGCTTCCCAGACACCATGAAGTGAGCAGCCTCCTTCACCATGTTCTCCAGCTACCATGATATTCTGTCTCTTCTGAGGACTGAGCCAGGTATCCCAGATTGAAATCATTTTCAAAAATCCACCTTCCCTCCTTTAAGTTGATTTTTCTCAGGTATTTTGTAAGAAAGATGGAAAGTCATCAAAGCTTACTATGGGCTACACTTTTTAAAACACAGCACAGAATTTCTTCCTGTCTATGCATTAAGAGAATAGACAATGGGGCTAGTAGGTCTGTCCCATAGTAGCACTCTGAGAAAAATCAGTCTCCAGGGCTTATTTTTATACAAAGTTATTACGCGTTCTCACATTTGAACCAAATTAACCCTGCTTTCTTTACCATTAGTGATTCAGGGTCTAGTACCTAAGCCAAATACAATCACTGGTATATTCAGGCTCTAACAAAGAGCAGCCATTGTCAGCTAGGGGGCTTAGCCTGAGACACAGAAGTTCTGATTAAGAAATAATTCTAAATATTATCTGCTATTTGTATTTCTGTTGTTTGTGAATTGCCATTATTTGATTGGCAGCTTTGTTTTTAGTGTTTAATTTTTACAATTCTTTATACATTCTAGAAGGAGGCAGCAGCAGCAGCAGCAACTTTACAAGAAGACAACAACAAATGTAGAAAAGGAAACACTAGGGCTAAGAGGTATAGCTGAGAAATGGGGTTAAGGAAAAGTGCAAATATACATTGAAGGGGAATTAAGAACTAGGAAAACCCCATATGGAAACCTATTGCTTTGTAAGCTAATTTTAAAAATAAGAAGTCTTTTAAAGATGAATTATTTATATTGCTATGCTGGTATCAAAAATTTTAGGAGAAAAAGTAAAAGACATTTATTTCAATTAAAGTAATGAAATGTGAGTAACTGAAATAACAATCCTGTATTATATTTAGTTTTTCATGAGCCTAATCTCAGAGGCCCGAGACAGATGTGCCTATAGATAGCCTCCTGAGTCTATTTCCATTATTCTTAAAATAAACTTGCACTAGTAATCCAAAAAAAAAAAATCTACTAGAACCTAAGCCTATACTGGAAGTAGGTTAGTAATATCTTATCTAAAGGCATAAGATAATGGTATCTGACAGATCTGAAAATCTCGGAAAACCATTCTACAAATAGTGACAAATGTAGGTAAAATAAGAGTAAGTTATAAAAGGCTATGAAATGGTTCTGAGCACAGAGATACAAACAAATAATAAAGCAACTAGGACACAGCTCCAAGCTTCTGAAATATGCCTCTGCCAGACAGCAAGAACAATGGAATACCAGAGTTAAAAGAAAACTGAAGATAATGTCTAAACATACACATTTACAGATGAATGAGACTTTCATATGTTCTTCTCAGAGTAAAGCTGTACAAAAGCTTAGTGATTATGACTTTTACCTGGTAATAGGTCAATTGTCTGCTTAGCTCTTCCAGATGTTTCTCATACTCAACAATAAGAGGAGGTAAAGAACTAAAGGAAAACACAGAATTAGAAGACAGTGTATTTAGTTCCATTTACTTTAATTATCTAACAAGTACATAAATCCAAAAATAAAAATTTGTGTTTAGTAGGAATCAATATTTTGCTTTTTTTCTTAAACCCTTAGCTCAAATAATATTTTGGACTGAAACCTTCTTGATTATGTGAAGGGGAAGGAGGAGAGAGGGCTTGAGCACTGAAGGATGACAAACAGCTTCTCTGGCTTCCACCCAGTAAAGCCTCACTTTCCACAGGGTTTACTTGTAAACAAATCAAAGACGCTCCCAGATATTACCAAATATCCTGGAGTCAGACAAGATCATCCTCCATTATAATCCACTTTTATAGACTCCACCAATATTTTTATGAACTCAATAGCATAAACATTCCTAAACTGAAGCACTCTTTCAATGACCAAGTTATTTAAAAAATAGTATGTAACTGGTAATACCTTACCTTTGTTCATCTGTGGAGTTTACTAGTACATCACCTCTGCCTCCTTTAGACATGCTGTTCTGTAACAGAAAATAGTCTTTTAAAAATGTTTTCTCACAGTATTCTAGATAAAATTGAAACAGCCTTAAAATTAAAAGTCATTAAAATTTTTATAACTTTACAAAATTTATCATAAGAAGGAAAAAAAAATACTGATTTGCCCTTGGTAAATTTAACCATACAGGATAAAAGTTGGCCAATAATAACCATGAGGAATATTCTATTTGATGAACTATCTACCAACCATCAGCACTAATTATCATTATTTGTGGTGAATAAGAGAAGCTTGCATTAAGTTCAGTAACAATACAAGTCTGTTTACTGTTCAAAGTTCTGGTCAACACAGTATATAAGAAGATTTAAAAGCTGAACAACATGTTACTATTATTATAACATACAGATAATTTGATCATTTACCTAGAAAACACCACATAATACAATAAATGTTAGGGCAAATTAGAGAGTACACTAAGTCCTAGAAAGAAGAAAACACTCAACAGAAAATTCAGTAGTTTTCTCAAACACTAACAGTCATTTTCCTTTGATCTCTGAAAACGATTTGCGAACTTTATCTTTTTAAGCAGCCATTCTGTTTCACTAGTCAAGTTCTAATTCCTTTCTTCTTTTGCTGAATTTAATTTGCTCCTGTTTCTACATTTTCTAAACTATAAATAAATGCAATTCCAATGTATGAGTTTAAAAATATGTATTAATCTTTACTTTTTTCTTTCTAACTGTGGATTTACATGGAATTGTAGGAAATAATGACAGGCAGTTTTGGGCAACTTTCCTCAATGGAAACATTTTGTTAAGTCACAATACAACATATAGATATTCCCTAACTTAAGATGGATGACAATCTCTTCTGAGGTTGAAAATGCATTTAATTCACTCCCCTAGAAAACACGGGGGCTCAGAGCCTGTAGAGTATGTTTACACTTGTGATTATACAGCTGGCTGAGAGCTGGGCTCACAGCTGCTGCCCACCTTAATCAGACTATATATTATTAATTCAAGAAAATATATGAATGTGCATCACTTTCACATCATCAAAAGCTGACAAGTGGTTTGTCAGGCCACTGTAGACTGGAGATCTTCTGTAGTATAATGACCTAACCAAGATAGAGATACCACATACATGAACATGATGATAAAGTTTTAATCATGGGTCACCTGGCACCTTTTGGTGCTGGGCAGATGGGGAACTGTTATGGTAAGCAAATGGATGGTTTACTATGCAGAGAGAGGGAGAGGGAGAGGGAGGGAGGGAGGGACAGAGAGAGAAGGGGGGTTCACTTCCTGTAGACAAAGGTAGGTGGCTTGATTGCCACTCTAGCATGGTGATGTCTGGACCTGGGCAGGAGCCCATGCCTAAACTCATGACCCTGATACAGGCACGGTCTGTATTGATGTCTGAGGTCCTTGATACCACCAAAGGCCAAGAGGACAGGGCTGTACAGAGTTGGCCCAGCCCTTCACTGGCTGCAACACCAGAACTCTTCTTGCCCCTTACCAGCTGAAGCACTCAGGAGAGAGGGCCCAATGCCTCCCCTGGCCAGCACAGTAGAGCTGACCCTATTTGCAGAGGTAGAGGCCAGCTGGCCCTGGGGGGTGTGAAACTGGGAGAGCAGGTCGCACCCCTCTCATCGGCCATCTGGTAGTATGGGTGAGGGAAAGATGCTCACCTCTCCTCTTCCCCTACTGCCTCCAGCTAGTGAGGGAGCTGACCCCTTTACCAGCTGCAAGCCCTGAACCTTGTCTGGGCAGCATAGTGGAGCTGACCTTGTTGAGGAGGGAACAGATGAGCTACCATAAGAACATGAGTATGGGAGACCTGGCCCTGTCCTTCATCTGTCATATGACAGCAGGGGAGAGAGATTAATTTCCCCCTGCTCAAGTGGGAAAGCTGGCCCTCAGGTGATAAGAGCAGGAGAGCTACTCCTGCTCCTCATCAGCTGCAGCACTCAGGAGAGTGCCCCCTACATCCTGCCTGACAACCCAGTAGAGCTGACCTTGAAAGTGTAGGTGTGAGAGAACCTATCCTGAGGATGTGAAAGTGGTAGAACCTATCCCACCCTGTGCTCATGGCTGCAAGGGGTAAACTAGCCAGGGAAATGTGGAGAGTTCACCTTGGTGGTGAGGATAAGTGAGAGCTGGCAGGCTGACCAACCCTGCAACCACTCAGGCCTAGAACCAGGGTCAAGTGTTGGCCCATCCCCATCATCCACCCCATCTGTAATCTGCTGAAGCATGGGGAAGGGGGTGTTAGTCCTCTGGACCTAGGGCTGCAGGATCTCTATGACAGAAACAGGATGTGCAGAAAGAGTCCCAGTGAAGGCCCAGCATCAATGGTGCAGCAAAGACCAGGGGCTCCAACCAGACCAATGATTCTTTGTGATGAACACCTGCATGTAAAGATGTATGGATAGGTGGATCTCTATGAGTTCGAGGCCAGCCTGGTCTCCAGAACGAGTGCCAGGATAGGCTCCAAAGCTACACAGAGAAACCCTGTCTCGAAAAACCAAAAAAAAAAAAAAAAAAAAAAAAGAGATGTATGGATAAAGGGGCTTACTATGTGACTCACTGTGTCACACTAAAGCATCCATGATGACATTTTCCCTTTCTTCCTTTTTCTTTTCCCCCATTTTTATCTTAAATTTTGTTTTATTTTGGTGGGGGGAGGTTGCAGAGGCAGAGATGGGTGGGATCAGGATGAATGATGTAAAAGACACAAAGAATAAATAAAAAATTCTTAAAACGTTATATAAAAAACACCCAAAGCATTGTGAAACATAAGAAACCCCCCCCACACACACACGAAAGTTTTCATTAGCCAAGGATCCCTCAGTGCCCCTTTTAGCCACACTACCTTTCCATTACCCTTCCTTTCCCCCAAACCCAGGCAACCATACATGTATATATTTTTCCCCATTTAAAAAAGACTGTTAATGTGAATATAATCTCCTGGGATTGGCTTTTTCCCCCTTAGTACAATATCCAGGATATTTGAGAACACATTTCACTCTGTAGCTTAGGTGGGCCTCAAGCTCCTTGATCCTCTGGGTGCTGAATTATAGGTTTAAGCCATCATACTGAGCTAACTCATCACCTTCTATTGTCCAACAATAGTATATCACAAATACAAACTACACACTTAGAGACTTTTAAGTGTTTCTAATTTAACCACTTTCCTACAGATGGTATCTGTATTATAAGTAAAGCTGCTAAATACACTTATATACAGGTTTGTGTATACATGTATGTGAGTGTGCAGATGCACATGTGTGTGAACATAAGTTGTCATTCATTTGCAATAGATACTCAAGAGCACAAATGCTGAGTCAAATGGCTGTTGCATGTTTTCTGTTTAAATAAGTTACCGAATAATTTTCCGGAATGTCTATAGCATTTACATACCCACCAACAATGAATGGTTGCCAACAGTCCATTTCCATCACTACAACAGAATTTCAGAGGTTGTATGTCTGAAGAGAGAAGGTCCAACTAGCTCATACTTCTTAAGGTTCAAGAGGATGATGCCAGCTTCTGCTGTGCTCTGGCGAGCACAACATGGCTGATGGCATCATGCTGGAAGCACATGCAAAGGTTAAGAATCATATTGAGACAGGAAGCCTAAGAGTGCTTCGGAGATCAGGCTTCCTCTTTTGTAACAACTCTCATGAGACAAACTAACTCACTCCTAGAGAGTTTAGCACGAATCCCTTCTGAGATACATGCCCCTAAAGACCTAGCTAGCCACTTGCCATGTGGTTCTACCTCTTCTGAACTTTGTCACAGCAATGACCAAAACTCTGATATATGAACCTTTGGGGAAAGAAACCACGAAATAGCATTTGACATTGCCACTGTTTTATTTGTAACCATCATGTGAAATACTTCATCGTGCTTTTAAATTTTAGTGATTGTGTGAAGCTGAATAATGAACATATATGATATTTACATCCAAATCACAATACAGTATTCTTAATGGCAGATAGCATGCATATCTAGACCTCCAGAATTTACAGTCTTATTATTATTAGCAGTTTGTAATCTGAGCAATACTTTGGTCTTCCCACATTCTTGCCACTAGGACTATACTCTTATCTTTTATATAATGCAGCTAATTGTGACAGACTAAACTGCAAGTAAGGATGGCTTTTCCTGAGAATTTTCTCCCTAGAAGACCAGCTTACATGACCCCATAGACAAGGACCTAAAAATGGGTAACCAAGAATGACCGCAGCTATCTGTTGGTGGTTGTGACAGCATTAACTTTCTGCCATGGTAAAGCTATAAACTGACCATGTAAAGCTGAGAAAAAAAGGGAACAAAGTTTAGCTAACAGCCAGCAAGACACTTACATGGTCTATGATGGCTATGTTGGCCAGGGCCAAACATAACAAGCAGTAAAGGTCATCAGCTAGCAAATCTCAAGTCAGAGATGGGGCCAGGGGTGTTCCACTTCCCTTAGTGGGTGGACAGCACACGAACAACATATGATCATCTCATGTGTTGGACTAGTGGCACATGTAGAATGGCGTCTCCCCTGGCTTGGTCTATGAGAGAGCAGATAATTAAATAATCTCATAGCAGTTATCTTAATGTCTGTCCGGTTTCTGCCATAGCTGTATTAAAAAGCCAAGACAAGAAAAGTCAATGGCTTCCTTTTCTCTTTCCATCCCTCCCTCCTTGCACCTGCATGGGTATTTTTTCCCCCTTCTTTTACTTTTAACCTGTGAGTGTCCTTTTAAGCCATGGCGACTCTCTTATGAATAGCATTCACTTGTGTTGTGTCTTATGACTGGAGGATTACTTCAATTACAGTCAATACTACCAATGCAATCTTGCTATTTTCTGTTTGAAGTTCCTTTGTTCTCATCTTCTTTTGCTTTCTTTCACTGTGATTCTATAAATAGTATGTTTTGATTCTTTTCTCTATCATTTGTGTATCACCTAAATGCTTTGGCTTTGTATGGAGCATGAGGCATACATAAAACATATCAATATGTAATAGAGGAAGCTGTTTATAACTGAACTTTCAGAATGATGTACAAAAAGCTTTATATTGTTACTCTCTCCCATACAATTAAAGTTTCCAAGTTATAAACTATTTTTTTATGTGTGTTCTTCAGGAAGTGATTGTAGTTAAAGTTACTTTTAGCACTTCTGCCTTTTAAGTTCTATGCAAAAATTAAAAGTGACCTAAATGTCATAGTGGCAATAACAGAATATTCTTGTATGAAAGTTTTACTTTCATAATTCAACGTGGTAACAATCAGTGCTACTTTATTTCAGCTTAATGAACTTCTTTATCATTTGCTGCAGTTTGAGGGTTACAAAGTCTCTCAGCTATTTATCGCTTTTATTTCTAATGGACAGTTTTGACAGGTGAATTCTTGGTTGATGGCTTTGTTCTTTACTTGAAATAAACCATCCCATTCTGTCTGGTTGTAAAGTTTCTGCTAAAAAATTCATCAACAATCTTTTGAAATTTAATATGTATATGGTGAGTCATTGTCTAATGTTGCTGTTTTTAAAATTCTCTGAATACAAAATTTCTGAACACTCAATTACAACATGTCTTAGATAAACCATTTTGGAGTTAAACCTATTTTGGAAACATGATTCTGGATGTCTAGATTTCTCCCAAGTGTTTTATAAGTTTTCATTATTTCTTTAAGTAACTTTTGCAACTCACTACAGTCTCACTCCACCCACAGGAGGAATCATAGGCTGCCTTGAGAGGGGGCATATGTGGGAAGATGAAACAGTTTTTACAATCATAGATGCCTTTAAATTCCAATTTCATTTCATTTAGTTTTACTTTGTCTTACAGTATGCTGTAACTTCTCTATTGGATTCTTGGGCTCTTAAAAGGGAACTTAATACTGTCCGTGGATGGTTATAAAAATCTATGTACTATAGAGAGATGGTGGTATAAATTTCCTATTCTATCATTCACTCATTACCTACTAGACAGACTTCTTTGAACTCCAGAGTGTCCAAAGTTTGTGTACTAAAGAGTGACAAATGTCCAAATGGAGGATGGGTGACCTTGGAGAGCCAGCGAAGTACAAGACCACTAAGTTTCACATTGAAGAGGGAGATTAGAAGGAACACAGTACTCTCTGACTCTCACATCCTGCCCAGCAGTAAAACGCAGTGTGAGGAGAGCAAGCTGAGGCAGTGGAGTAAACTGCTGAACCTGAGTTCAAGGCTCTCAATACTGCCGGTAGCAAGCCAGAGGCAGCCATGAGATAGCCCCAGAGGCCAAGTAATCTGATATCCATGAATTTTGTAATCCACTGGCAACAGGACTGGTTCTTTGCCATGGAGCCTGGGGGCTATCCTCCACTATGTCCTCACAGCTCTGTGCTCCTTAAATTTCTTACTTCATCTATGTCTGCCTGCTCCCCATGCCTCAGCCCCTGCTACTTTGCTTGCCCATTTTCTACCAGGCCCTATGTCCAAAAACTTCATGACTTATGACTGCTCCTTATTTTTTCATCTCTAGAAAGCTCCATCTCAAACAATAGCCTCTTCTCAAGGTAGAGTCTGTCTATAGTGCTCTTTGATAATAAGAACAATGCAACTGCTCTCTTCTCCAATGCTAGGCTACCACACAGGAGGAGCCACTATTACACCAAATACCACAATGGATTTAAAGTTCTCAAAAACTGTGGGTTCCCCCTGTGGACAGAACTGCCAGTATGTCATTAGGAGTTCCTGGCATACCTTTTGTTTGTAGCCCAGCCCCTCTACCCTCACTAACACTCCACTTCTAGCTCCAGGGCTGAATCTGCACACTATGTTCTACTTTTCTCCATGCTTCTTAGCTGTTACAAGGATAATGAATCCCCAAGGGAGTGAATGACACACGGACAAGGATATGCTAGAAAGGATATCAACACCCATTTTATGTTACATCACCCCTTTACTCACCACTGAAAAGTACACAGTGAAAAGCAAGATGTGATAATGGAAGTCTGGGAGATATGGAGAACTACACAGGGATTAGGAGCCAGAAACAATATTCTGCCATGAAGATTCAGAATAGGAATCAAGATTTATTTTATGATTATAAAAACTGTATAAAAAGAACCTACACATTCTAAGAATTAGAGCTGCTATAGTTTGTGTAATGGTAAGGGAAGATGTGTCCCTGACTGTTTTGCTACTTTGAGGTTTCCAATAATTACAACCACAATGCATAATATAGACACTTCTGATAGTTGTCTTGTAGCCATTGCTGTGTCACTGGTAAAAACATGGTCACGATTAAGCCAGCTATAGCCTCCAGTTATGTGCAATAGCACATCCAGAGAGCTTCTGGAGACCAAAAATTTGTCTTTTGCTGCTGCTACTGCTTAAACAAGCCTTCAGACCTATGCTATAAGATTAAATTCACCTTGTTGATAAAATCTGAAGTTAAAGAAAAAAGAAACACCTCAGGAAATAAATAAAATATCAATGCATATATTATTATTATTATCTGCATTAGTTTATGCTTCAGTCATAATTTCTGGGTTTTTTAATAGGGGAGATAGGAATCAAACTCACTGACTTACACATGCAGGACACTTAATATTCCCAGCTTTTTCAATATATTATAATTTGTAATAATTGAAATAGTTATATAGCCAGGCATATCTTGATAAATCACTTTAGTATGTTTCAAAACTTGAATGAATTCCCATTTCAGACCTCAGCTTCTTTAACATATGTAACATTAGCTCCAAAGATAGAAAAAAAAAACAAAAAACAAGCAATTTCTACGGACAAAGAATTTACTTTCAGTTAGCAAAATCAAATTTTTCCCTATAAGAATCAAAGCTAATAGCAAAATTTCAAAGGTAAAAGGCAATTTCAAATGTGAATAATTCTAAGTAGAATTTATATTGAAGATCTGTATTGACTATAATCAATAATTCATAAGGATATAGATATATTTACAACCGAATTTCAATCTAGTTTGTTATTCTTAAATCATTCCACATACCTGCATATTTGGGTCTTTTAAAATATGTTCAATTTGAAGCTGCCTAGGAATATCATTCATTTTATCACCTGAAACCAAGAAGAAAACCAATTTCAGTAAATCTACTTCGTAAAACTAGAAAAACAGCAGCTAATATCTGATGTATCCAATGAAAGATTTCTAGTTTGTAAGATTGCTTCTCATAAGATAAATCATCAATTTCAGCACATAGTTTTAGAATATAAAATTAGGTCTTTTAATATTCATAAGCTAAATAATGACTCCCAAATGGAATAAAGAACAGCTACAAAGAACTAATCTTTTCTTGAATTATCAGTCTATTTTGGAAGAAGTGGGAAAATAGCCCCATTGTTTTTTTTTTTTTTTTTTTTCCCACTTCCACCACTAAAAAGAATTGGGAAGATATACATCATATTCTTTTTTCCTCATTTCCATTTTTTCTTTCTACTTTGAAGATAGGGCTTCACTCAGGCTAATCTAGAACTATAGTCCAGGCTGGCCTGATTCAGTGGAATCTTCCTGTTTTTGCCTTTTGGGTGCTAGGACTACAGGCATGAGCCACCACCATACCTAGCTGTGGACCAATTCTTTAGAATTCTTAAAGTCAGCTAGAAAGATTATCCATTCTATACTGAGGATACAGAATCCAATTTCAAGACAAATGTCATGAGACCATGAGAATGATGATGCGGAATAATATGCCACATCTGTATTCACATCAGGAAAGTGACCGGGAAAGCAAGACGGCTCAGCAGATAAAGGCGCCTGTCATCAAGCCAGAGGACATGAGCTCAATCTCTAGAACCAACAGGCTAGAAGAACAGAACCGCTCCCTCATGTTGTATTCTGGCTTCTGTATGCATTTTGCCTGTTTGTGTGTGTTCGTGCACATGCTCGTGTACACACACACACACACACACACACACACACACACACACACACACACTGCATGTAAGCACATGCACAAATAAATGAAAATTTTAAAGAGGGGCTACAGAAATCACAGTACTAGTTGTTGCTCTTGAGAATCCAACTTCAATTCCCAGCACTCACACGGCAACTCACAATTGTCTGTAACACCAGTTTCAGGAAATCCAGCACTCTTTTGGTCTCTACTGGCAATACATGCATGTGATGCATTGACATTCATGTAGGCAAGCCACCCATATATGATTTTTTTAATTAAAGAAGAATAAAAGTGAGGAAATTAAAAAGAAAAACACAGTAAGATATTACCCAAGAAATACACAATCTTTCAAGATTTACATGTAACAGAGCAAAGCTCAACAACTTTCAAAGAAATGGAAAATAAATAAAAGCCTCCATGTTATAAGAATAATAACTAGAATCACTAACCAAAGCAGAAAAAAAGAGGCCAATAGGGACAGTATCCAGACATGAAAACTGAAAAACAAAAACAAAACACCTCTGGGTCTCAGGAAGAATTACAAAAATATCTATTTTGAATTGAACAATAGTTTAAATGTAATGTAGCTTAACTTAATAGTAGAAAAGTTCTATAGCTTTGATTTAGAATTAACTTGAATAGCCTTTGTTGTTCAGGTTTAGGAGTTTTTCATATTTTAAAAATAATTTGTATAGACTTTGTTGAGTACTTCTAATCTGCAAATCCCAAATGCTAACTACCACAAAAAGCTATTATATCAGCACTCAAATGTTCCAGATTTTAGAGCATTTTGGAATTTGGATTTTCAAATTAGGTATGTTCAATCTGTATTACAAAAAAACCCAAAACAAAACAAAAGGCTTGAAGAAACAAATCTGTTGCAAAAGGTTAGAAAAAGAACAGTGAAATAAACTCAAAATGTCACATGAAGGAAGTAACAGAAATGAACCTAGTAAATAAACTCACAAATAACAAGATTAAAAATATAATCATTTCCTATTTTATTTTAACAAACATTTGATGAAATTCAAGGTATATTTATGGTGTATAAGACTGGAAGTACCTTAATAAAATGAATGCTTAAACACACACACACACACACACACACACACACACACACCAAAAACCAAAGAACTACACTATAAATATCACACCAAACAGGAAAAATATTGAAAACCTTTCCCTTAGGGCTAACATAAATATAAATTCTTATGACATTTATTCAACACTCTAGTGGAAGTCCAAGTTAATTAATGCAACACTGAAGCAGTTAAATAGAGGTGTGAAGATTCAAAGAAAGAGGAAACTCAGTTACATGTGTGTTAACTAGTCCAGAAAATATAAAATCAGGAAGTAAATTTAATAATGTTGTTAGTTATGAGGCCAAAATGCAAAAGATTAATCATTTGTATACACTGACACCACAAATTTTAAATAATGAAAGACAGTTATTTCTAGTATCATTAAAAACAAATCTCACAACAGGAGTATAAAATTCCTATACAAAAACATTTTTGTATTTGATAAATTAATCAGAATTAAAGGCCTAAAGAAGTGAAGAGAGAATTCACAGTTTAAAGTCTGTCTCCTGAAGTCAGTTTTCCCCAAATTGGTATATACCCAATGAAATTTCAATCAATATTCAAAAATATTGTTACAGGAACTGAAAGGCCAATTCTGAAAGGAAATAGAGAACTAAGACAACTTTACAAAAGAAGAACAAGAGGATCAGGCTAGCTCTATCAGATAGCAGCATGCATTAAAAGGTTATAATTTACAGAGCATGATGGTGGTAAAAGAAAATGTTCCATCTCTGTGACAAAATCCCCAGAAAAATAACTTGAAGAAGAGTTTATTGTGGTTCATGATTTCAGCTCAGTTGCTTGGCTCTGCTGTTATAGGCCAGGGGTAAAATGGAGCATCATATATCCTAGCCAGGGACTGAGGTGAAGCAGAGCTATCAATGGCATCCAGGAAGCAGAGAGAAAGAGCCAGGGGCAAGAGACAAAATATATCTTTCTCATGGAAACTCACAAGACACTGACTTCCTCCCATTAGACCCCACCTCCTACAGTTTCTACCACCTCCCAAAAGCATCATGAAATGAGATTATGCTTTTATCACATGGCCTTTGGAACACAATGAAGAGTCAAACCATATCAAACACCAAACAAAATTTGTCAATTAAAAGGTATTTAGAATTCATAAATATAATGATACACACATGCATATATGTTAATAAGTTGGGAATCAAAGGGGTACTCCAGAACTGGGGCAGCAGTAGATGAGAACAGGTTATCTTTTTGTTTATGGATGTAGGTCAAGCAGACAACTGAGGGAAAATAATTTGATATTCACAAAAATCAATTCAAAGTGAACTGTAGACCTAAATATAAAATAATAAATTTTCAGAAAAGAACCAATTAACTCTTCTATAGCCTTAGAATAGACTAAACTTTTTAAATTCAAGCAAAGCGAAAAAGAAAGCAAGAAGAAACATTTGTGGTGGTTTAAATAAGAACCACAGACTCACAAGATTAGGAGGTAGAGTACTGGTGTAGACTCCGAGGTTTCAAAAGCCTTGATCATTCCCAGTTAGCACCCTCTTTGTCTTGTGCTTGTGGATCAAGATATGCACTCTCAGCTACAACTCTAGCACCACGCCTGCTGCCATGTTCCTCACCATGACAGTTATAACCCTTGGAAACAGTAAACCCCCATATAACCATTTCTTGTATAAATTCTCTTGGTCATGCTGTCACATGAGAGCAAATATGAAAGTAAGACGATGGGGAATGTAGTGTGTATGTTTATCTTATTGATTGTTAAATAAAGCTCTGTTTGGCCAATGAAACAGCAAGTTAGACAGGACTAGGAATCAAAGAGGATTCTTCGAAATGTAGTAGAGAAGTGGTGCTCCAGGCCAGAAGTGACATAGCAAGGAGACTCATATTTAAGAAAGGAGAAACAGGAAGTGTCCCTTTTCCCCTTTACCTCCTCCAGTGGTGGGATGTGATCCACAGGCAAGAGTGCCAACAAAAGGCATCTTCTATAAGATAAGTCTTATAAAATATATAGATTTATGATAATTGAGACTGAGCTAACAGATGAGAATCCTAGTCATTGGCCAAGCAGCATTGTACCTAATACAAGTCTCTCTGCATATTAATTTGGGACCTAACTCGGGTGGATGGCTGGCGTAAAGCACACATGTGGCGATGGGGCTTGGCAGCTTTTGGCGGAAAGATTTATCGTAATAAGACAACATTTAAAATAAAAAATACCCACGAACTGGACTACCTTATAATTAAGAACTTATACTCATTTAAAACAAGCACATTAAGAAAATAAAAACACAAATCACAAACAGAAGACATTTTCAAGATCTGTAATTGTCAAAGATTGTGTATTTAGAATAAAGAACTTCTAATCAGTTGAGAAACAGAAAAAATGGTTCAGTATACAAAAATATTCAGAAAAATCCAACTAACTGAAAAGGAGCTCAGTAAACATCAGGAAAGTATAAATTAAAACTAGTACAAATTAAAATTCAAGACTGGTGAAAAGAGAGGCTGGCTAGGGAAAAGGCTCGGTAGGTAAGTGCTTGCTTTTCAGGCTCCAGACCTGAATTAAAGTCAGAGTCCACATAAGAAAAGCAGGACTTGGGCAAACATCCTTGTAATTTCAGCGTTGGGGAGGTGGAGATGGGGATCTCTGGGGCTTCCTAACCAATCAGCCTAGGCTATTTGGCAAGTTCAAAAGAAAGAAAGAAAGGAAGGAGGGAGGGAGGGAGGAAGGAGGAAGAAAGAAAAAATAAAAAAGAAACAATACTCAAAGCTTGAGGAATGATATCAGGTGTCCTTCGGCCTCCACAAAGACATATCTGCAACCACACAGAGAACTGGTAAATATGTGGAGCAAACTGAATTTTCATACATTGCTGATGGGAGTCAAAAAATCACTAAACTTCAAATTTAAATATAAACACAATTCTTGGTAATTTAACCAACTAAAATTTGTGTAACTGAGCACAAGAACCATGAACAAAAAAAAAAAAAAAAAAAAAAAAGAACACAAACAAAAAAACCCCCAAAAGCAACAGTACTACTCCTAGTGACCCCACTAGCCAGAACCATCTCAGATATCTATCAAAATAATAGATATATGATTCATTAAATCTGTCAAGTGTATCTGTAATTAAAATTCTATCTATATGTGATGATACAGACAAATTAAAAAACATGAATGAAGCACAAAAGAATATGTGGTTCATGATCTTTTTAAAAACTAAATTAAGGAATAAAATTAAAGACAGTGGTTATCTTTCACTATCTTTGAGGAAGAGGGAGGGACAAGACTTTTTGGGTTCTAGCTATTCCCATTTCTCAACCTGAATTGTATTACAAGAATTTTTCACTTTGCAATGTTGCACTTGGCTTGTTTTCTTTTGTGTATATTTTATAAACAAATGCACCATAAATATGCAAATGCACTAACCAGTTGCTTTTGTAATTTCTGGAGACATTGGTGGTATCATGCAGTACTCATGTTTATTAACATATCATTTTCTTTACTAAAAATCCAATCTGTCAAAGAAACCCTCCGGTAACCTGAAGATATAAAGATATAATCTTATGGATTTTTTTAAAAAAAAATTAAAGATTTATTGTATTTTGTTTGAGGCCAATCTGGGCTACACAGAAAAATCTATGGCCAGATCTTCTCAAAACAACAACAAAAAACAAATGGAGCCTGTGAGAAGTAAGACTGACAGAAGTCAATGAATATAGAGAACATGAGAGGCAGACAGACGGAGGATGGACGACATTCATCTGTATTTCAGCAGGCAGTGAGGTGGTATGGCTAGGGCAACCCACAGCTTTAACTGGAACATGAAGTTTTCATCTCTTCATACCAACCTTACAATTCCATCCTCCCTTTTCCTGAATACACAGATTTCAAGGCTTTGCTGTGTATTTGACAACTTCTTCTGCTCTACTTGTCTTTTACCATTCAGTTTTCAATGAAAATACATTGTCTTACTTAGGGTTTGCTGGTATTTGGAAATCAATTTTTAATCTAAGAATTATGGTTGCTTTATTTTTCCAAAATGCATCTTCTAAAATTCAGATAACCCTCCACCAAGCAAAACTGAGATTGTGGCTAGTTACTCATCTTTATGCAGTGAGGTTTTCCTCACTTCAAACCTAAGCAATAACATTATTGTTGTAGTGCAGTGATTTTGTGTGTGTGTGTGTGTGTGTGTGTGTGTGTGTGTGTGTGTGTGTAGAGAAAGAGAGAGAGAGACAGAGACAGGGCGTACACAGGGCATTTAACAGGTACTAATTACCGTGCTAAGGGCTTCATTTGTATCATCCCAATTAAGTACCACAACAACATAGAGTTAGGGTGTTCTTCACTCAAAAGTGAAAAACAAATGAAAACAAAATCAGAGGCACAGGAAGCTAAGAATTTTACCCAAGATCAAACTTAGGAAGTGTGAGAGCTAGACAATATTCTTACAGAAACAAATTTAGAGATTATGTCCTTAACCTCTGGTCTATGATGCTTCCAATACAGGGCTCAGCATGTTTCCCCAACCTTCCCTGTTGTTCTCTCCTTGTTTTCATATCTCTACATCCTCCTTAGGTTATTTCTTACCTATGATGGCTGTAGCTAACTGAACTGTAATCCTTAATAAACCTCTATAATTCTGTTCAAGGCAACCTTGCTGTCTGTAAACAACGCATACTTCCAGTCCCTTCAATGTTGCAAATATGTGGGATACCTACACCATTCTTATCAGTAAACATATCGATACGTCAAGTTTCTGTCCAAATGGCATCTTCCTCTGGCCATGATTTAATCACTGTGTAATAGTCAATGTTTGTTTAGCACCATATGTCAGATGCTATTCTCCTTTATACCTCGATGTTTACTCAATAATTCCATCAACTCTACTTGGTAACTGAGGCGAACGATTCAGCAGTTGCCGCGTCAGTGTATTTATGGGATTTATGTATCTCCCTCCGCCAATTACACGCTGGGAGAACAAGAAAATCTCCATCCCTACACCATCTATGTTTGTACAGCACCTGACACGTAATAAAACAGTAGCTCAACAAATATCTATTAAACTAATGACCAGAGCAGTGCCTGCAGGTCCTCAACTGCAGATTTGGAAACTCTCCCTGGCCCATCAGCCCTCGAGTTTCTCTGAGCACAAGAGAAGCATAACAAACCTATTTCGTGTCTAGCTGCCTCCGATGCACGCTTAAGGAATCTACGAGTATTTACCAGCGGTTCTGCTTCGCTAAGTACATACATAATCTCATGTACATCACCAAGCATTCTGTGAAGCGGACTTAAGTTTTCCACATATTTCCACGCTGGGACCCAACCACAACCAAAACATATTAGTAGGTCAACGACAGCGACATTGCATCTTACAGATGAATTTTTCCATCAGGGCATAGGGCGCTTACGTGGGTCTCTCAGTAAGTCGGATTCTGTGGCCATTTCGATATTTTAGTTTGGAGTTTTCATCACCTTTACCGATTCCTCGCAGGGGGAGTAAGATATTTTTTTTTTAACAAATAAACAAAAACAGCCTCCCGCTGAGGAGGCAAACAAAAAGCTAAGGGCTCCCCAGGGCACGGGAACCCCGGCGCGGAGGCATCAGCATCCGACT